GCGAGGCGGGAGGGGGTGTGTCAGCGATTTCGGGCGTTACGTGGAACTACCAATCCCATCAGCCCCCGGGAAACAGGAGCCAACGATGGGGGGACTGTGTCTGAAAGGCCACAGGTGGCCCACCCCTGAGGAGGAGATGCCCGGGATCAGCCTCAGCCTCTTCATCCACCTGGCCCAGGAAGATGGGAGGTGTGGTCAGTGGCATCTGGAAAGCAGGAGATTACGGAGGGAAATAAAGCAACAGCAAAATCCATCCATCTGAGCTGCGGGAGATTTTGGATGGTGGAAGATGACTAAATAGCCTACGATCAGCCAAGTTGTAACGAAGATGGTTCCTTCAGGGAGGCGGCAGGGCAGGGAAAGCGCTTTAATCAATTCCTGGAAGACTGCAGAAGGATTAATGCACAGCCTTTGTGTTTAATGTGTATAGGTGCAATTAAGCAATAAAGCAGGGCTATAAATCTGGAAAGCACCTCTTTCAGACCTCATGGCTGAAAACGGTCAACTTCCAGGAGCTTTGCCAGCCTCCTGTTTACACCTCTCATTTCCCACTGAGTTGGTTCAGAAGTTGTGCTATGTCAGGCTGGTTAACTGTGGTTTGTGAAATAAATCACAACTTGCTGGGATTCCATTCATTCTAAGCCCTCGTGGTTGTTTTTGCACAACAAGCTAAGACACCATAAAGCCACATTTTGCTTAATTTATGAATGAGTTGCTGATTCACTTTGCAACCTGCAGCAGGTGGCAACCACATTCCTCATCAGTATAATTTTGTGGGGCCATTGACTAAAAGGCAGGATGTAAACCTCACAAGGAGACAGCGCAAGGTTTCAGGCCTCACAGAGCTCTTCAGGCAGAGGAAATCATAATTCTGATTTACGCACGAGGCTAGCAAACTTTCAGAACAGAAAAGGGTAGCTCCTCAGATGCCATCCTGAGGTGGTGGTTTGCTGATTGAACTGGGGAAATTCTTCCGAGCAATAAAATTGCTTTTCAGAACATTGGCTGGAGCCAAAATGAAGGTTGTGGCTGAAGACAGGTGGAGAAAAAGCTGATGGGGCCAATGATCTCTTGTAACAAGTACCTCTTGAGCAATTCCTGCTTCACTACAAAATCCTGGATTGCGCTGGTGATTAATATGCACCTTCCCCTTGAAGGAAGCAGTGAATGTGAAACTCAGGTCATTCTTTCCCCATTGATAGCCATCACACCAGGTCAGTTGGCAGGAGTTCACCAAGGGTTTACAGAAGGGCTTCCCGTTAGCTCTGCTTTCTGAGAGGCAGATCAAGGTGGCTGTTGTTTCTCCATAAAAGCTGATGACAAGGCAATAGATTGCTCACTCGCTTGCTCCCCCACCCCGCCGCCACAATAATTAACATTACAGATGAGACACAGGCCAGACGAAGCATCACCACTCCTCTCGGGGGAAAGAAAATGGTGGCAGTCCTTCAAAGATTCCCACCCTTGTTTTGCTACGGCGAGAGCAAATAGAAGTGACTAAGGCAGCGGGGCCCGAATGTGAAGCATGGGGTGGAAGGGGGTAGAGCAATTTCCTTCCCACCATTTCAGTGAAACTGAGGGGCACAAAGTGTGCACATCCTGCAGAAAGCTCATCTTCCTACAGTTTCTCAACTCAAGGGGAGCGATGGGTGCAATAGTGTGATTTTAACCCAGTGTTTCTCAACCTTGGCAGCTTTCAGATGAGTGGACTTCAACTCCCAGAATTCCCCAG